GTTCCACTGGATCCTGCATTTACTGAAAAGTGGCTTCTGCATAATAGGAGCAAGTAGCAACGCAACTATGTATTTTCCATTGAAATGTGGGCAGAAAGCTTCACAAAGCATCTATCAACTTTAAAGAATCTAATCTTCAAGATCTATGTAGCATTTAAAAATCTCTGAGGCCTGTTTCACATGGCTTGCAAATGTGACGTGCTAATGACAATTAACAATCGTTCTCTGAATCTCATAATCGTGAAGAGTAATTTCGGTAACGTCCTGATTTGGTCTCCACTACATGTTATGCTGACTACTCCAAACACGGACTGCTCTCCATTTGTAGAACGGTGCGGGTCGTGGGCCGAATTCAAATCCAGTACCACAATTTGTACTGGTGTTTTCTGGTGCTGCACGTTTTCCCAATCGATGCAGCGGTCTCAATATGGGGAACTCACCGAGATGTAGAACACGGTAGATCATGATGATATCAACTCCGACCCGGCGATAGAACAGGATGTGCCGTCCCAGTTTCATGAACTTATCATCGTACTCCAAACGCCGTAAACTGGGGATGAGCTTGGTAACTGCGTGTTCGGCCCGTTCGATCGTTTGACCTCAGCTCGAGTAACCGGGTAGTAGGTCGGTGAACAGTACTCTAGCATTGGTTTTATGATAGAAGAGAAGAGGCATGTTGCAATCTGTTCTGACTAGATGCAGCAGCTGCGTTGGTGGGCAGATAGCATGCACAGCCCGTTTCATTGTAGCACTTTTGCGTTGTCCACAGACTACAACTCGCATTGTGAAAGTACGCTTAGTTCCTTCACGTAAGGTGTACGAGGTATCGGTTAGACTTCAAGGGTATAGGTACGACATGTACCAACATTCTCCACGCTCATGCTTACCGATTTGGTTGGGTTGATTCGCAGTTCGACCTCCGCAGACCAGATGCAGAGACAGTTGAGGCCTTATAGAAGTATGCTGCAGTTGTCTGCGGTGATAATCTCTTTCCACCTCTTCAACTAGTCCACTGACAAAACATAGTAAGCGGAGAAGCCGAGGAAGGTCCCGGATCGGGAACAAAATGGATCCCAGTAACGTGCTTTGGGATACGCCACTATCAGAGGAATACAAACCGTCGGCTCGTAACCACCACTCTCGATAAACCAGAAATTCTCGGACCCACTGGTGCAGTGAGCCACCAACACCACACGTTATCAACCTGTAGTGAAGGATCTCATAGCTCACCTTATCAAACGCTTTGCTGAAATTGACAAAGCACATCGACGGACTTCCGTTTTTAACTGTATGCAGTTTTCCACACTTGATCATCATCAGTTTGGTAATGCGTAGGCTGTCTTTCATGAAACCTTGTCGTGCTCGCGCTCGGATATCTTTCGACGGAAACAGATGAATAAACAGTTTTCCTTATCCTTTCGAATACTTTGTCCAAACGAAATATTAGACAAATTAACCATTGATTATCCACTTTACTTGGGTCACTGTCTTTCAGGATCGGCTTGGCCACTGAACATTCCCAGTTGTTCGGACATCAGCCTTTGAACAACTCGGTCACAACGTACAAGATGACAGACGATAACGAGTTGAGAGTCAAAGTTTTTAGCTCGTTAGTCTCAGTAGGCTTGGTGCCGTCAAAATTGGTGGGTACCTGACGCATTACTTCAACATCATAATCCAGACTGTCTAGTTCGGCAGGGTTTTACATGTGGAACTCGATGAATACAGCTGGTCATTTGCGGAAACGGAAGTGAAGTGCGCTGGCAGCGCTGGCTGATAGAGGTCAGGGGTCATCCGCCAAGCCCCGTAGCCTGAGTAGGCCACAAATAGATTTCACGCGCCGTTTCACGCAGGCTCCTATTCTCTTCTGATTGGTTATCATGGCAGGCGCCTACTGACTCAATCCTCACCATAAATCGGAACCGTTATGTTAAATGTTATCCGCTAGCAAAATTGTACTCTCAGACTTCTTCCGTACTCCATCGACCTCTTCAAACAGAGAAAAGAGAACTGCTGTTTTGATCCGAGATGAAGTGGCTACCAGCTGACTTCTTTACCGCCACAGTATCGAGCCGCAGAATATGCTTACCGCGATTAGCTCAAAACAGAGTAATGTGTAAACACAGCTGAACCCACTGGTGATCAGATGAACCATGGAAGCACTATGATAACAATGCTTCAAAGACTCTTTGAAGTACAGAACCACTTGAACAAGGTCTCTGGCCCACCCCGAGGGATTGTCCTTATCTCGTGATTACATAACAATGAGGTTTGAACTCAACGAATTCAGAAGGGCTGCTTGAGTGTTACCCTTCATCAAAATGTAACGGTTTCCAATGTCTGAATCCGCACTCGCGTTTCTCTAGATAAATGATAGACACCTTTTAAGGTATTCAAACTTTCCTTTGCTTACTTGGCATGCACAGAATGCTCGGAACCATAACTATGTGCCCCTTTTTCTGATGTTTTGTCAAGTCGAAATTGTATTAACCTTGCTGGCGTTCCCTAAACCGACCCATTAAACACGCCAAGGAATGGTCTACATGCGTATAGTGACACTAGTCCAGGTAGGCACCTTCGTCATGCTTCTCAGCCGGAAAAAGGGACCCCTTAAAGTACATTTTACTCTTCGTTCTCCGGGCCTCTGAAGCGCTAGGACTGCCCATTCATCTTGGTCGAATCGGTTATGTGAGCCAATTTATGCTATCAGCTAAAAATCATCAGGATTTAACCGCTAGCTTATCTTCATGATGAGTATCAAGGCGCCTGGTTGGAAGCCTTTAGTTTATACAGCTTTACAATACATAACAAGTAATAAATGGATGTATCTTCCAACATGCAGGACACGTTCGCACTTTGGGAACGATCACTGGCGTATGAATGCAAATCGCAAATCTGGTTGCGTTGTCTTCTCCGCACTCTAAAAGGTCCCCATGCACTGGCGCTTTCCAATATGTGGTCTAACTGCAAGAACAGCGAAAGTCATCCATAGTTCTTTAAATGAATTGGAGTCAGTACCGTTCAATACAACAAATGTTTTATGTTATTTGTGGTAAAGAGCAGATTTTGATACTAGTTGCTCCACATATCGATCCAGCCAAATTCCCTGAGTGCGCTAGTAGACTGTTGAAGACCAAAAATCCTGATTTTCTTTGGTGTGGAAAATGTTTGTAGACGTGTTAGAAACGTAAACAGATTCTTGCGTGTCCTTAGTTCCAGTGACAGTTTGCTCCATATATGGGCGCACATCACTAGGAAGAAACTTAGGCCAATATTTTGCTTGTTCTTTTATAGGAAGAGCAAGCATCTCACATTGCGAGTGGAATCTTTTGACCAGTTTCGTAAAACGATAGTCATACTCACAAATGTATGATGTTGTGGAGACGAGAGAGTTTACCACTTGGTTGTCGGAACCAGAATGCTTCAAGCTGGAGGGAGCGACATCATTCATCGTAGCCGTGTTTTATTAAGCATCCGTTTTGTGTAGGTGATTACGTATGGTGCCGCCATACTCTCATGTAGGTCGCACTATCAGATGGAATGAATCCAGCCATTTGTTAGACGTACTGTTCTCTGAGCCTGCAAATGTCCTCGCAAACGTTTCGTCACTAGTCAAGGTGAAATCACCAGCGTTACACAAACACACACTGTGGATGTCACCTCGACAGGTGCCGAAAGTTTTGCAACAAAATAGCCAAGCTCAGCGAACAGTTTCGTTTAACAAATCAACAATCTGATCTACGCGCATTTGGTGCTAAATCCAATCTATACCTGTTTGGGGTAGTCCGAATGACCCCGTGTTAACTATTCCAACTTCGCTGTTTGAAGTCCGATATGTCCAGAAAACTTGCAGTTGCCAGCATATCTGTGTCCAAGTTGTGGACGGAGCCGGAGGTTAGAATGGGGCACCAGGAAGTGATGCAGCCTTCTATTATACGGCATCTACCACAAAGTGTCTGAAGCATATCTGCTGAATAGCTCAGATATGCCTTCACTCCAAGTGTTCAGGGATGATGGATTTCGTATATTCTTAATGTAAAGCCCAAGGTGGTCAGGTGAAAATGCGTACACTAGTTTGGTCTCATCCGAAAAGACGAATGCGTGTTCACACCTTATGCATTCACGTACATCGTTGATTTGGAAGAAGAAAAATGAGGATCGCAGTACCTTTTCATGAAACCCACTAGTAACACTTCTGGGAGCAGATTATTGTTGACTCATCTGTAGTCTTTGCGTACACTCGCTAAGATATGAGTCGAACAGATTCAATACAAGATTGCTGATTTCCTAGATTTCTGGTTCGGCCAACATCAGTCTGTGTGGTACGCAGATCCAAAACGGCGATCATGATCGCCTTACCACCGTCATTGATTGTGCTAACGTGATCAAATAATTATACTTGATTTGTTCACGTAAGCGCTTTGTAACAATATTTTACTGCAAACTGTTCGACAGACCTAGGTATGTATAAACTAGGTAATACGATTCGTGACGATTATTTTTACATCCTTAGAGGCAGCGGGAGTGAGGTTTATCGGTAGATAGTTTACCAGTTGATATCGTGGTTCGGATTTGTTTTGGAATAATTATGGAAATTTTTCAACTGAGGCGGGAAGCAACCATTGCTTAATAATGTGCAATCAATATGATCTCTTATACTAATAGATGTATTGTCTACTATATTGCTTGCAAAATTTCACTACAAAAATATTTGCCGCTCTCTCTGTGTGTAACGCAAAATCAAGTCAATGCTTCCATGGTTCCAGCCAACTTCACCTGACTCGCTTTCACATAATCTCTCTGTGGTCTCACAGTAACTGGTATGTTTTAATCATAATATTTCGCAGCATACATTTCCGCCGGAAAATTATATTCTCAACAGGGATCCAAACACACCTTAATTTTTAATTTCACCTTATATCTGTATCCCCAATTTCAACAATACCTATGAATCTACATAACCTTTTCCATGTTGAATCGGAATTCTCTTTTCAATTAAGGTGTCTTCTTTTTGGACCGGTGGCACGGTTTCTACAAGCCTCCTGTGCCTCTCAGGGTGCAACAGAACCGATCAACTTCCTCGTAAATTCAGTTGTAAGCCTACCCCATTACCCGTTATTCATTCTATACTGTTTCCAATGTGTCTACTGCTTTGCTATCGTATGGATGTCGTTTCTTTAAAAGATTGGTTAAATTTTAGGTTAACACAAATGCTTCTGTTTCATCTACCAAATCTTTTGCATGGTTGAATGGCTCACTTAGCTTTCCTATGCTTGTATACCTGACTGTGGAACCGCCATACTAGTTGTTACATCCTACAGGGTCTGTGTTACATTTTGGTTGCCTATCTACCACATATACTTGACTTCTGACCCTAACGGTTCACTATGTGTTGAAAGCTGTTATCCTGTTTATATAGTTGTCTCCATATCACCTCATCTTTGATTGATACTTCAACCTCTTCCTGACGACAGGAAAGTCCCATAGAACTGGATGTGACGGTTCAGCGAGTGGGTGAAAACAGCGTGCAGCGTCTCCGGAGAACCGAATTCCGATTGACTGAAGGTGGAGAAATTGCTGTCACGTCCTTCGATCTCACTCTGTGAGTGTATTCGGCTAAAACTGTCGTTGAACTTTAGTGCACCTTAACTGGACATGGGGAGGTTAGAGATAATTTTAAGAATTTGCGTATGGTGAAAGTTTTTAGTTATATAACTGATTCAAGATAAAAGGTCCCTATTAATACACTTGAGTGTTCGCAACAAAATTGCCTCTCCTGTAAATTGTGCGTAATCGAACAACTAAGCATTGAGATTTCCGGATGATAAACAGAAAAATAAAAGCAAGTCGTGGGTATATATTGGACGCTACTCCCATCACGCCCTGAACTCCACTGTCGTTTTCTTATGGGAAACTTACAGGAAGATATAGCAGTAGCCGTACCTAGACCAATAGCCTAGTGGTTAACATCTTGGTTATTAGGCAACTGCGCTTCGAGAGTGGCGCTTAGCATAGAGTTAAGGAAGTCATTGTTGAGATCTAAAGTGCCTATAGTGCTTTTAGACAACGATGTGTAACCGCAGTTCCGACTACGAGATACTATGAAGTTAATGTCTGTGGATTCGATCATCTGGATCGTGTCTGAGGCAGATAAACGCAAAACGTCTCTTTGCTTATACACGTGACCCCATGCGGTGTTTCGTCTCTGTTAGAACCCTCCAGGTTGAGACAGCAAAACTGGGATTCAAACCAGGATTTTATGATTGAGATGGTCGAAGTTTCCCGTTAGGGGATTTGCCATCTAAATTGGGACCAGGTATCTCCATTGTTTACATAATGATGACACCAATACCCTATGCACAAGAGGACGAACTGTGTTCTAGTTCAGCAAAACTGGCAGCCTCCTGTAATGGTGCCTGGCAAATGAAGCGAGTGAGCCCAAGCTTTGCTTCACACACGTCAATGACCCAAACCTGATCAGCCAGGGTGCGATGACGACCTGTGAAGCGCTACAACAAAACTTTGCTTCAAATTGCTATACAATGTAAAACATCCCTGCTGAATTTTAATTGCAGGCCAGACGTAGTTGTTGATTTTTGACTAGACGCTCGACACCACACCTAGTAGTTTGATGCAGCGTCGGCCCATTTGTTATGAATCGTGCGGTTGCCCGTTTCAATCCAGTCTTTCACACTGTATTTTCGTTTTATTTTCTTACTTTAAATCTCTATACAAATACTATTTTCTCCTTGTTATTGTTGTACACAGCATTGTCCGCTTCCACGCTGAGTATGTCTGCCTGCCAAACTACTTCGGCAAGCTCTGTGACAAGTTCTGCGATACGAAGGCAGTGAATCACGTTTGTGATGAATGGGGAAACCCTATTTGTCGTTCAGGTAAATACCTCCCATTATCACCCCACTCATTTTTGTAATATGAGTTTTAGCAGACAAACTGCTTGAGACCAGCGTTCCTTAACGATGGTTTGGAATAAAACAAATGTTTATTGACTACTGACATCTTTCTCCTTTGAACTTGCTCATTTGAGTGAGACTATTTGCGATTTTAAATAAAGTTTTGGGACTGAGGCAAATTTAGCCATGTGTTACGCTCTTCAACAAAAAGCTTCCACTATCTGGAGACTGGCGATTCTGCCTAAACCAGACTCGAAAACACCGGGGTTGCAGAATGTGACGAGATCCATTCTCCGTCGTAGGATCAATGGGACGACCGTCGTCTTTCTGCCGATAACCACCGTTTTACACCCACGCTAGTTGGTAGCCGTAGGCATCCAACTTACATGCACTGGATGCCTGCAACCGCGTTCGCATTCGTACCATGGATGGCTTGCGCAGCATCACCAACAGATCCACCGGCACCTAATGTGAGGTATACGGGATGGAACTCGGGTCATTACGGAACTCACCCACACTCTCCCGTCACACATGTATGTCGATCACAAGTGGGTGAATTTTACGTATTAACATCTTCAAAGTATGATTATCTCGGGTTATTGCGATCCCATATACGCTTGAATAGTACACAGGCGTCCTGTGATTGACTGGTTAGTACAGGCGCAGTGCCTCCTCATGAAGCACTGGGGCTGTAACATGGGGCTCTAGGATAGCATACCGAAAGTACACAAACTACACCTGGACAGCAATTGGTTATACCCTAGGACCGCTTTTAACGCTTTGTCGGAGGATTAGTTGATCCGACACAGGACAAACCATGGTAGGCACAGGCGAGAGGAATCGCAATACTGATGCATGAAAGTGTGTAGCTTTTGCACTGCAGTAATACCATTATGGGTTATGCGAACATACTGTAAGCTGTGGGCCACACAGTGGTGTACAATACCATCATCAGATCTACGGCTAGACAACTGCACCCATCTGTCTTACACATGCACATGGTACAAAACACCGACTGAACATTTTTGCACAAAGAGATTGCCATCTAGACGCCTAGATGATATCTATTAATTATTCCATAGAGACCGGAAAACGTTGAGAGATACCTTTGCTTATAGTGAACCTCATTGTGCTGTCTAATGGAACCAAAAGCTGTTGTTCGCAGCGCACTCAAATGGCAGGTTAGTCGAATGAACACAGTATCTAAACGTTAATATTTTCACTAACTGGGCTTTCCATTTTAACGGACTGGATATGGGTTTCAGGTCGAACAGATCACAGAAATTTAGGCTGCTCATGCGAACGGATTTTTAGTGCGATTGATTCAAGGAGAATTAGTCGAGTTGGCCCAGCACATTAGGGAATGTCTTTAGGAAGCACCATTGGTTCATTTGCATATTCGTCGCTGTGGACTCCAATCTCAAGCTCCTGCCCATGCAAAGTTACAGTCTAGTTCTCGAAACTAGTGGTGACAACGGCAGTTGGCGTGCTTATGATTAAAATACTGACTTATCTTGTCAGTGATAAGTTTAGATGAGTACCAAGGCAAAATGCTCCCACAATCGGTTTATATACATCGTTATATATTGAGGTATAGTCAAGCACCACCATGCTAAAGGTAGCCAATCCGTAAACACAGTCGGCTAAGTGCGCAACTTTTGAGTGCATTGCTCCTTCATCCGGTTGCAACCAGTTAACGCAGAATTTTAGTTGGCAGATCTTCTGACTCTGCTTGCCTTATACTACATGATAAATCAGCTGTGAATATTAGGTGCTTCGGCAACGCCAATCCCTCTTTTAACACATGAAATAATAATATAATGGCCGTCGACTTCCCAAAAGGTTGTGGGAACTAGCAGCAGATCAGATTTTACCTAAATTTTGCACGCCAACGCCTAAACGAAGAGGACTGACAAATGGAATGCAGACTCAGTATAGCTATTCCTCTGTTTGAGGTTCCTGTCTAAATTGTGCAAACTCCATAATGGAAACAGAGAATGAACTCTCACTACTATTGCCATGAAAGTAGGGTACCGTTACCCCGATTTTAAGGATGGTTGTATTTCGGAGTTTGCCATCTACCGTCCAGTGATCCTGTTCCCAACACTCTCAAACGTAACGGACTCAAGGCACATATGGGTTATTTAGAAAGATCCAACACAGTAACTAGAGCAATGCGGAGTGCGTCCACACCGGTCACATACTGCCAAACTTTTGATTGCGTATGGTAGTTGGAGTGAAATAGCCTCTGATGGGACCGGAACGAATGACTTCTAAGTAGACTTGTTTAAAGCCTTTGATCGTTTAGATCACCGCATCCTCCTCCAAAAGCTGCAAACCTACGGAATCGGGAACCCTCTCACTGAATGGAACTGGATCACCCTTATTTAGCAACAGCTGCAGATTCGGGCCCACTGTCTGGTCAATGAGATGGAAAGTGACGTTCCACAGTGAATTTGGTCTTAATTAACGGCCTGGCGCAAGTCATCTAGTCGAATGTTTAGCTTTTTGCCGATGCCATCAAGATATGACGGGCGATCGGTAATCAAGACGATCATGAACTGCTGTAACGTGACCTGGACTGTGCTTCTGAATGGTCAAAAACTAAACTACTTTATTTCAAGACGGATAAGTATCAATATTTCATGTGCGCCACAAGCCGGATAGCACATCTAGGCTTGGAAACACATCTTGACGACCGCCTCACAGCAGCCCGACCGTGCAGTGTTGATGCAAGATGACATCGGCTGTTCGGAGCGATCCGTGCTGGTGTTCAAAACCGTGAACCGACATGTTGGACTTTTGCGCTCTGGCAGTTTACCCTTTCCATCTCACCGCAAATGCTCAATGCGTATCTGAGGCCCCATGTACGGCACGTGATTTGTGACTATCATCCCTGTGTAAAACGCGATCTGGATGCACTAAGGACTCCATAAGAAGAGCAACGTAAAATGTTAAGGGATTGTTTCATCTGAGATAACAACTGCGATTAAAAGCCCTAAGTGCACAGCAGAAGTTAGCGCCGTCTAGGGGTGGCCTCATCCTGAGGGACCAGCTCTTGAAAAATCCCGACTAAATTCGCCGCCATCATTAAGTTAGCCGCAACGCAAAACTGTGGGACCAACAGCTGTAACTATCCATCCAATACAGTCAGTTGGAATGCCGCCGCAAAATTCCACTCCCAATCTGCCTACCGTGCCATGCTCTTCCGATTTTTATCATTCCTGCATACCCTCTACCCGTTCATAAAAACGATTCGACAGGGCATTATACCATTTGTATTACGTGACATGAACCCCACTAGTCAAATGATGACACGACGCAAATAAACATTGTGCTCACCAGCCCCACGAAATATGTGTATGCATATTTACCTGTGTGTAGCGTGGAAATTATTGTGAGTCCACGGACAGGCGGTTTATTTTGCTGCCAAAATGTTAAACTCATGTTTTCACACAAACCACCTCACGGTGCTTGTCAATTCTTAGATATGTAACTCGTATTCTACCATGGTCTAAGCGAGTAAACGCTTTTGAGAAGTCAGAGTAGATGACATCGACTCCGGCTCCATCATCAATCGCCTCAGTACAGCTACTGAGTGCAATTAATAGGTTAATAATACATGAGTGCTTTTTGCAGAAGTCGGCTTGTTCCGGGGCTAAAACGCCATGGTTTTCCAACAACTGCATAAACGCATCTGCAATGATTGATTCCATAACTTTAGAAAGCGCAGGAAACAACGTTCTCGGACTGTAATTGGCAGGATCAGTGCGACTAAATATATTATGGTAGGGAATAATGGTCCTCGCTTCCATATTGATGGAATCCGGTCTTTTTCTAGTCAGCGCTGATCGAAAACTGTCAATGGCTCCGCTAGATTATCAGCCAAATGTTATTCACTCCAGGGGAACGCTGGATATGCAGGGAAAACAACTGTTTCAACACAGCTTCTATAGTGAAGTTGATGTTGAATAAACCTGACGGTGGATTAATAGAAAATTGGAGATTTTTGGGCTCTTTACCCTCTGTAGTATATGTGGGTGTTTTGTTAAGTATCAATATGGGTCGTTTTATATTTCTATGTAAAAATCTGCTCGCCACACTTTCATTCCTTGATTAGGTGCTAATCTATGCAAAGCGTATTCACCTACTCAGAAGCGACAAGAGACTAAGGCATTATGAAACTCAGGTAGCCCAAGACCTGAGCCATAAAGGTTGAAGCGAATCCTGGTTACCACTTCTAAATGTTCAATTTGCGTGCTTTCTCAAGGAGATTTAGACAGATTATCTCGCAGCTTTTTACTCACCACTATAACCAAAAGACTTGGAATTCCGGGCAGGGAGACCTAGAGAGCGGACCACTGACACTCACCGGGAGTTTTGAAAGTTGTGCAACAATGCAGTTGCTTAGTCTGAACAATAGTATTTTTGG